GACATTAATAGGCTGCATACCGTGTGTTTGTGATAAATGGGGGAAATGTATTTAATATTTTCTTGGTTTTTTTTTCCCCAGAACATTTCTGGTAATTTTCAGAAGGTTTGACAAACACAAATAACAGTAATCATATTATATAAATATATTTCATTAACTTTGCGTAATTACATGATTTTGCAGGTCATAAAAGGCGTTTTGATATAGATCAATATATCTATAAATCTATAAAAAACTGAAAATTAGCAACTCAGGGGGACACAACTCCAGTCCTGGAGGGTTCCGGTTTTCTTTCCACCTTGCCAACGAGCAAGTGCAAGTCAGTCATGGTGCAGAAATAAGGACCTTATTAAACAGACACGAGAGCAACTGCCAGGGACCATCCACAAACCACAACACCTTTACCTCTCCCCCGGTGAAGCAGGTACAGTAGGTGTGATCAGCTGAGCAGGTGATTTGTCCATTTAAGTAATTAAGAAATAATTTTGGACCAAACTGTGAGCACCTTCCAGAACCAGAGAGCTCTTCATTTAAACAGATTGCTTGCAAAACTGATCAATAATTTACGGGGGCTTCCGTTCTTCAGATGCAGGTGACTGATAAGACCAATTGGATCTGGGGGCTCTAGGAGCAGGGTCGGAGATCCCCGATCTAAGGCCTGGTGCAGATGATTCTGCAGAAGACTGTAAGATGTCCTAAAGGGGTCAGAGTTGGTCCATCTGTTATCAGAAAAACCATGTATTCCTCTGAAGGGCTACAGAAACTCAGCTTCTTCTGAAAGCACAGGGCACAGGGAGGGGCTACATCCTGGACAGAACACAAATCCACTGCAGGGCACTACAGTCACCAGTTAACCCAGCAAGCATCTTTACTCACAAAGTGGAACAGCCGTGGGAACATGCAAACTCCACACAGATGGTTCCACTGGATAGAAATCAACTCGGGACCCAAAAGCTCTGACGCAACAGTGCTAACCGTCACACTACCATTCCTGCCTGCTGTAAGAGTCATGTGGAAACATCGAATGATTCCTCTAATGGGAGGGGAGTGGTGTGTTTATGTGTGGGAACGTGCCAGGGTTCGGGAGCTGCTTCCTTCTGTGTCGCAGGGTTTCTTTGCTTATGGCGGAGTGGCAGGCCGGCCGCCGCCACGCCCTCGTCAGCAGGTGATCGGCTGAAGTGTGGGGTTCCCAGTGACGGGGGCCGCCTGATCGCACAGCGCAGACAGGCAGGCACATTCTAGGAAACTGAAGCTGTGAGGTTCTTCGAAAGAGTCAGTGGATTTCACAGTGATTTTGGGATCATCGCAAAAAAATCCTTATTTCTGGGAATAACTCTGGGGCAAAAAAACATGACACGCCAAAAACAAAAAAAAGAAACAACAGAAACATTTGGCACAGGGTATTGAGATGTCTAGGGAATAATTATATGCTTTCTATACATAGAAACTGTGCATGGACTGGATGACATATACACATGTAACCCCTAAATAACAGAAAAACCCAAAATATGAATATATATATGAATTAGTGCAGGGAAAACTGTGCACTTTGATTTTACTGCTGTTTTGTGCAGGTATAACATAAAAACTATTATATCATTATGAATCTGTACCTTTTATTATTATTTATTATTCTGCCATACTAAAGTTTATGTACTTAAAACTGGGCTCGCACAATTCTGATATTAGAGGAATTTTAGTTTATCTCAAGGTGTAACAGTGACAACTGTGTCAGTCTGAACCAAGCTGGACCGAGAGACAGCAGGACAGGAAGTTCCACTCCTGGTCTGACAGGAAGTGTGTCATCAGCAGGTCAGCTGCTGTCTGCTGGGAGGAACAGAGGCAGGAGCCAGCCGAGTAGTTCACACACACAGTCAATGCCTCTTTGTATACACACAGTACATACCACACACTGTAAAGATAATTTAAAAACACTTGTCATTTAATATGTATTATGTAAACATTTTATAACTATGTAATATATTTTACAGAGGCTTTACAATTACTTGCTTTAAGTCTAGTTTATCATTAGACAATCACATGCACATACTGTATGCACTTATGTAACTCCCACACATTACAAACCCGAATGATATTGTAGCCCAGCACAATAGTAACATCTGTCTAACCTTTCTGGGTTTGAGAATTGAGCCAGGTTAACTCAGTGTTCAAAAGCCAAGCAAGACTGTGGGTGCCCAGGTTGCACACTTCTAGAGGACACTGCGTTAACAGTACAGATAAACTATAGTGCACTCCAGGAACCTCACAATGGAACATTTAAAAATATGACAATAGAACTGTTTCATTTTGTGGTGATTAATAAATAATGATTGTGGTACGGCAAAACATAATTTCCATAACATACCTTGTGCTACTATTCAAAATTAATGGGAATCAAATAATATTTACTGCATCATGAATTACGTCACGTCTCATGGTGTATTTCTTGTGGGTGGTGGAGACAGCTGAACCAGAAGATCGGATTGGCAATGCTTTTTTTTTTCATCATTGCCTTAATACATCTTACAATGGCTGAGTTCATTTTTACTGTCTATTACAAGACTGGTGTGTCTTTTCACAACAGTAACACGGAATAACAGTGTTTTATAACGGTATTTCATGTTTTTAAATGAGCAGTTGTAGACAACAGTGTAATGGAACAGCAAAAGAGCCTCACCCTGCATTCTTTCCGTTTATACTCGTCATTCCACTCCCATTGCGACACTGTTTTGTATAAATACTTGGTGTCAATCAACGCGTTATCTTACCACTCGATGTGCCTGAAGGTAAAGAAATTCCCACTGTCCCCATTATGCCCACTAGATGGCGGTGTAACAGTATTAAATCCTAGACTGCACTTTACAGCCCAAGATCAGTCGCTGTTCTTAGTACAGAGGCTGGCTTGCTTTAACGGAATAACTTTCACCGCTGTGAAAAACTAACCTCAGAAATCACATTTCATTATATCTTTATTTATATATATGCACACATTAATCTTCCACATGTAGACTGGGGTGATACACAGTGTTAATCACTAAATAATATTTCTCCTTCACAAGAAGACCCCGTTATTTGTGTAGCAATAGCAAATATGAATCAGTGCCTGTACTTATAAGTGCTGCTTTCACATTATTTCATTTTAAATTGGTTCATAGACCGTTTGCTAGTTTGTATATATTCACCGCCAGGACAGGCTGAAATTCCCCTGGGCATTCAACCAAGCCTTCGTAAAGCAAAATGACTTTAAAAAACATTCCTGCAAGGCTGGTTTCTTTCTTTAAGTGTTAAGAGTAATAAGAAAAGTCTCCTCCCATCCACCTGTAGACAAATACAGGGAGTATGCATGTATCAGACACAAAACTGTTTGCTATGATTAGAAATAAATAAAAAAACATTTGAGTGCAGTCCTTTGCCAGAGTTAAGAATTGAAGGGAATTGTAAGATATACAGTATCTGTATTGCACCACGATTTTAGTAGTTCCTGTTCCATAAACCCAGCAGACAGTACCAGTGCCGAAACTGATTGTTCTAAATAATCCGTTTCTAAAAGCCTGTCTGTCTCAGCATGTCTGGATACAAACGACAAAGTGATCATCTTAAACACAAATGGTCTGTCTGGCAGGACCCCACACCTGTCAAAGGGCAATTCTAATGTTTCCTTCATCTCAAGACAGAGCCTACACACAGCATGGCGCTTGGTGCTGATTTATTTAGGTAGCTAGTCCAGTGAAATTAAGCGCTAAATAGACACTCATGCTGCACAGCAATAAGCATGATACTGCTATGTATTGGAACACCCTCAGGTGCTGTGTGTTGTACAGAGTCGTGCCATGTTAAAATGAGTGTCCAGGGTTAAAACAAGGCTTCTGAAAAGCCTGGATATAAACCAGATTATGCCCTTGTTTTTTAGCGGATGGTGGTCTGAGGGGCTCATTTTGAAAAGGCACCAATCCGCGATCCTGAAGTCATTACTGCTCAGTGCATAAGAACGTAAAGTCTGTGATGAGAGTAGGCCGGTAAGCTCGTCTAGTTTGATCCAGGTTCTTGAAAGAAGCAATTGTAAGGGTTTCAGTGACATGGCCGAAGCAGTTTCCCACAACTGTTTGTGTAATGAAGTACCTTATGTTCCCAGTTTTAAAAGCACTTCCCCTTCAAGTACACTTGTGTCCCCTGACTCGTGTTTCTCTATTCATTCTTAAGAAGCCCACTGGGTTGACTTGGTCAATGCCTAGTCCACAGCCACAGACCTTTCTGTCCTCACTTGCTTTGGAAATAAAAGAGATGTAAGCAGAAAAAAGCATTTTTTTAAAATAGGTAAAGGTTTATTCCATGCTGAAAAGAAAATAGACACAACGTTTCGGCTGTGAGCCTTCTTCAGGTGCGTCTCTTTTCTGTTCCTTTCAGCATGGAATAAACCTTTACCTCTTCCCCTGCAGCCTGCGCATGCTGATGCAGCTCCCTACTTGAACATCTTCGGCACATTTTTAAAGTACAATATGAAGATATTCCAAACAGATCCTGGTCTGTAATTCCTAAAACAACTGTGCAATAAATGGATCACAGGAGAATGTGGCTTTAAGCAACTGGCTGCTTTCCTACCCCACGGTATTCAAAAGTTCAAAGCTGTTTCCATATAAGGCCAGGAGCCCAAGCATAGTTTTGCGATTTCATTGCGAGGACTGTTAGCATTACCAACACCTTTTGTAAATGTACAGCGCGATAACTACAGAGGACAAACTGGAGGTGATTTTATCTTTCTTTTTTTCACAATGCACACTTTGAACACCTCACCCATGATTGCGAAGGTATTTTTTTTTTACCAATAGGCCATAAATTCAAAAAACAAGTAGGCAGGCCAGGTAGGACTGTGAGATAGAGCCTGCTGCCTGTACATTAAATCTGTTGCCTAATGCATGTCAAGGTTGGAATTTACAACGGAACTGCCCAGTTCATATCCCTTTATAAAAACTGTCAACCATGAAGCGAACACACAAATTAAGTAATTTTATATATAATGTATTTATATATTTTCTTTGTTTGTACTGCCTTGTTTTCTTTACAATTGAAACTTTGATGACATACGCTGCTATTCTGAGAAGCAGGAGATGGTTTGATACAAGGGTTACAGGGCAGGTGCACTTGACACTCACCTTGATATACTGCTGCAGTGCATTTGGGGTCTGGGAGGGTGAGGGGAATAGTGTTGGAGAAGGAGTTGTTTCAAGCTGTCACTGCCCGGGTGGGGACTGCAGTAGGAAACGCCTGTGTGTCTCCTCTTCTGTCAGAGAAGAGATGGAAGAGTGTCATGAGGAAGGACTCCTCTGATTCTCATCCTACACCCTCAGCTCCTGTGATGAGACTGGGACGCTGGAAGGCTTCAAAGAGCCCATTGTCGAGACAGCAGATGCTTGTGGAAGTCATACGTCGCCGAGACAGAGATTTGAAAGTTCATGCTTGCCCCTTTTCCTTCTAAAAATATACTCCTTACGCAAATCCCCCCTTCTTTATTTAATATAATGATGGAACGTTTGAAACTGTTTAGGAATGTTATGTAAAAAAAACAAAAACAATATACAAAACAAATGAAAAAAGGAAAACAGACAGCTCTTTGTGAGAGTGCAGCACACGGTACATTTTCCCAACACTTCCCAGTTTTCCGGTAGTCGTACGATATGTAGATGATGCATTTGGCATTACTACCACGGCTTCCAGAATTTTAGATGCTTCACCATGATTTCACTGTGCTTTAATACACTTTCCTCTGCTTTTAGAACAGTATTAGAATGTAATAATTGCACTCGGAGCAGCACCAAACGTGACTGCAGGCCAGCACCCTTGTCTGCCCAGAAGCTGTCTTCGGGTTTTTATAAGAAGGTGCTGTTCGGACAAACCCTCCTGCATGATGCACTGTGCTAACGCTGAGCGCTGTGTGAGACAGGGAAACAAAAGCAGCTGCTGGCACCTGGAGCCAAGTGACTCCACGCCAGCCTTGTACAGTAAACTCTTAGCGTTAGTTTGGGAAAAGAGATTGGATCGAACGCACAAGCTTCAACATTTTCATTTTCTATGCACGTTGTCGTAAAGCGAATCCCCAGGACTGCACTTACTGTAGTTCTTGTAATTAACCGCGTGCAAGCGGCTGTTTATTTCTGTCCGGCGGAAATCGGACTCACCCCACGCCAGCTCCGCGCGCTCTGGTGCTCGATGGCTCCGTCGGTATCTCAAATCTTGCTTTACTGCAAAGCCTCTGTCAACAAATTAAGGAGCACAGAGGTAATGCGAGGAGCTGCAGAGAGGTGATGAAATTACCCTGTGCATTACACTGATTGTCTTTACAGACAGGAGAGGCTTTGGGGCTAATGATCACAGTCTAGGCTTGACGGCTTAGGAATCTCAGATTTCCATCCAATAAAGATGTCGTTTGATGTCTGGCAAGTAAAATGTAACCTGGGGCTGTACCGGGACCTTCATAATGTTATGCATTCACTGGACATGATATTGGAAGCCAATACTGGAACCTGTCCCATCAGCTTTCAATAGGACAGAGAATTGTTCAGGCCAATAATGGTGATGGGCAGCTTTCTATTGCTCAAGCCACCCTTACATTGCTTGCCAGTAAGAGAGACCATTTGTACAGTATGGGTCTTATTATTTTGTCCTGTGAGTTGGTTAAATGCTGTATCACACTTTCTCCTGTTGGCATCTCCTGTCCTCTAGACCATCAGTTTTTCAGAATCACAAAATTTAAAAAACTTTCACTTCAAAATAAAAATGTGAAAAAAATAAACCGTTTCAAAACCCTCGTTTGGTTCTGGAGCCGAGCTGAAATAGCAGTGGGCGTTGACTGCTGTGGATCAGTAGTGTTCATTTTTCTTTCCAAACACTCTTCTGTGCCTGTGCAAAAAGCAAGGGCTAGCAAGTGAAGTGGCAGTCAGTGCCGCTGTATCAGTGATCAGCATCCTGGGCTTGATTTGCTTTGTCTCTCTGTGTTCATGCGGATTGTCTCCGCTTTCCTCCCATTTCCAAAAAGCACTAGCTAGGTGTGATTGGCTACTCTCAACTGTCCCTTTCCTCTGTGCCTTTCATCCCATCCAGAGGCAGAAGGGTCCTGTGCTCACAGTCCCATCCTGATCCCTATGTTTCTAGGCTAGACTCCGGTTTGTCTCTACTTTTTTTAGTGTAAGCAGCTTTCTGCTAAAGGGAGGAGGGGACTATGGCATGGATTAAATCAACACTTTAACCAGTCCTCTGTGCAGTATAAGAAGCCACTGGTAGTTTTTAAACTTGTTGCTGACAGGTGGGTCAAAGACAGTACTTAATGTGGGCTAAGGGTTGCCACCTGACCCCTGGCTTGTCATTTATCAGGTGCCAATACATTCAGTTTGCAATTTATTTTGATAATTAACAGCAATGTTATATAAAAATCTAGATGTAATTTAATTTTCATGGGTTCGCCCAAGAATTGCTGATCTCCGGGTCACTTGCTTTGGCTGGCAGCAGGAAAAGAGACTAAAGTCTGTTTGGAGCGACTTATCACCACCTGAAAGGGGACAAAGACAAAATGCATGAAAATATGGGTAACTGAAAAACAAATAAAACCAACATTCATTATTTAAGAATTATTCCAAAAACCTCACAAAGTACTTGGACATTTTATTTTTTGGCAGCCACCTGGAGATAATGGCACCAGTAGCTCAGGTCATCATAAATTATGTGTCTTTAGTCTTTAAATACAGAGGCATGAGCTCAGAATTGCACATTCTAATAAATGAAAAGGGAGTTTTACAATTAACTGAAAAAATGAGTGAAAAAAGTGATTTGAGTGTGCAATCAGCTCCTTTTCTTCCATTTGTAACGTGATGATTCAGGCAGACTAGAAAAAGAATAATGTCAAAGGGATGATTTTCTCCCATTTAGTTTGGGGGACAGTTTAAAAAATGTTTACTGTTTCAAACAGTTTTGAATCACTGGGCTCGGTGATAAAATGTGTTCTAGTCTGCTGTGCTGTTACCTATGGGTCTACATTGTATGTGTCCATTGGCAATATATATACCGCACTGCAGTTTAAACGCAAAGATACAGCTCCCCATGCCACCACCCCCCTCTCTTCCTCCCTAGTCTGGCCAGTTGGCAGACAGAGGCCGGTAATGCTGTGGACATTAAAACTTTAATGCATGAACAAAATATTCATTATCCCGCAGATGGGCTGCAGGGCTCAGGGGAACCAGTGCCCTGCCCTCAAGATGCTGATCTGGTGTTTTCCCAGGATTCAGTTTCAATCAGTGTTGTCCCTCTGGGGTCCCTGGTTAATCGTCAAAAAGCACACATGATCCCAGCCTTCCCATAATAGATATCTTGGATTTTACGCTGATCTGATAAACAAACTCTCCTGGTATGCTTTACAAACCGCCACAGCAGCACAAACAGGCCGTAATACAACAGCGGGCATAAAACACACAACACAGCGGGATGCGGCACTGCCCCACAGGAGCATCAAGAGACAAGAATAAAATCCTGTTTCAGCCAGAGCAGTGTTTCTCACTCTGCTCATTTCAAGATGAATGGTCTACGCTACAAAAAAGTGTCAATTCTGAACTGCAATTTGAATTTTTATTATTCGTTCAATTTAAAGAAATCCTAAAAAATCCTATAAAAGGTGAATTTCTTATAATTACAGGCAGTATTGCTGAACAATCATTCTGAGCAGGGAGCAAAGTTCATGGAGCGATTTTAATGAATTACTTAATTGAGTCCTGATTACTCATTAGAGTGAGACACGTTGAAAGGAGCATGCATTGAACTGAATTAGAAGACATCAGCCAGAACTGAAAGCATGAAGTATGAACTTCATGCTTCAACTAAAGAAGTTGACAAGCAAGACTTGGTCAAACAGGGGTGCCATTTAAAACTCAACATAGAGACCAAAACACTGGGTTCACCAGTGGGAGCCAAGAGGGGGCAGATAAAAGGACTGAAAATGGGAGGGACTGCTCTGCACTCTGGGTTCTGAGCTGAAGTTGACTCTCTTGAGATCTTCAAGACACATTGGGGCAATATTCTGGGGTAGATCATCCACTATCAAACAAAAGGAGCAACTTGATTTATAGCCCTTCTCAGGCTCCTCTGTGCTGTAACCAGACATGCAGCAGCAATGTGGTCAGTTTAGAATCTGCCTGGCTTTCACCTTAAACAGCAGTTTTAACTGCCTTGTCATTGAAATATTAGATGCCTGCTCAGCAGTCAAGGTCTAATCAATTCATATCTGCTTCAGAGAGTAATTGAGTGCTTTTTGTTCTCTGGGGCTGAAGGTTTCACCTCAGAGGTTCAGCCTGTTCCCGAACAGTCACTCACCTCCCATCCATCCATTTTCTAACCGCTTCTTCCAATCAGGGTCTTGGGGGAACAGGAGACTGTCCACGCTAGTCATGGCGCCAGTGGGGTACACCCTAGATCGGACACCAGTGCATGCAGGGCACACACAGACACAAACACACTCGCACCTTGGGCCGATTTTCCCAGAAGCCAGCAAGGTAAGAAAACAGGAGCACCTGGAGGAAGCCCACATGAACAAAGGGAGAACATAAAAACTTCATCTCAACAGTACCCCTGGTCTGGAACTGAACCCAGGGCTCTAGTGGTGTAAGGTAACAATGCTAACCACAGAGCCACCATGCCACCCTCAATTAAGCTGTCACATATCAGGAATGGGAAATGTGAACATTGCCTGTTTAGAGAGCTTTCATAACCCAGTTGGGCAGTGCGCCTCAGTCTCAGAGGAGAGGTCTCTCAGAGGCTGTGTGTTGCTGTGGTCACAGCAGGCCTGATGGAGTCTGGGGTGCCGTCTCCATCCATCTCCATCCATTTTCATGCTCCTCTGTTCCTTTCTTGCTGCTCCGGGAGCTGTGTGTTCGGCACCTGACAGAGACAGAATGACCACAGATTCACCCAAGAGAAACAGACTGGAGTCGTGTCAAACAGCACTTTGATCCATTCCAAGTTTTATGAGATACAGGCTCTTCTTATTTAAAAATGTATTAAGTTCCATGTCATGCTTATAAATTTCTCAGCTAAGCCAAATGGTAGTGATAAAAGTAAAGTGTATTATGGGTTGTTTCAGTGCATTGTGGATGTTTTAGCACCTTAATAAAGTAATGTAGACAATGTTATCTTTATGGGATGTTTACAATGCAAAGAGCCTTTAAAGCAACTTGTGTTAAATTTTAAACCTCGAACTGTGTGAAACTTATCCATAAAGTTTCCAATTAAAATTCTCATCAGCATTTATTCAGCAAAGCGCACATGGTGCAAAGGGAATATCCTTCCCCTGTATACTTCGTGCCACTCAGTTTTGTGTTTTCTAGTATCTGTTTTTTTGGAGGAGATACAGACAGATAGCACCCACAACACTCACAGCTGTTCATAAATCTTAGGCATGTAGAAAAATGTATAAGAAATAAAAAATACTGAGGATGGGAGAGAACTGGAAAATGACAGCACGATCTTTGTCTGCTGTGAGAATACGTTTCTGATGATAGAGGATGTCTGTTCAACTCCCAGTCACAACTTCATTAAACTCTTCTTGAAAGAACATGAGCATGGACTCCACACACCTACACCTTTCTGATTAAAGAGCTACTCCCTGTACTCGGTCCAATTAGTTTCCTCTCACTTTCATAAAAGCATATGTTTGTATGAATGTCTCAAATTAATTTTCTTCCTTTTTTTAATCTACAGAGCTCTTTGTGATTTTTTTTTCCTTGAAAGGTGCAGCTTTATAAAATAATGTGTTTGATGTGATTCCAAGTGTGGCAGGTTGGCTCAGGAAAACACTGGCAATACAGCTGGCCTGCTACTAGAGGCCAATAAGAATCCCTAATGCTTGTAAATAGGTGCGCTAAAGGCAAAGTAGGTAATGACTGGTAAGACTTTGTGTCACATTAGCACATGGGGGTTCTTACTGTAAGTCTGGGATATGAAGGGCTTCAGGGTGGTAGATGGTGTTTGGAATTGGTAGATTTTGCCACAGTAAAGACCCTTTTCACTGTACATCTCCGTATCATCATGTGTTTTAATGTGCCAAGGGCCTGTGAGCCATCACGAAGGGATAGTCACGCTCAAAAAACATTAATGGACATAATTTACAGTATACTCACCCGCAGAGCTCTGGAAGCTCTTCCTATAGTCAAGTCAGGTTCAAAGGTGCCAACCTCAGGCAGTTGTGTGGATGAGTAGTTTGCATTATAGTCCTATAAACGAAACGTTGTGGGTTCAACTCATGGGTAGGTCATGACAACACATTTTCAATGAAATACTCACTTGTACAAATGGGCACAAACATAAATGAGGGTGGATGACATAGTCAAATAAATCAGCAATAACTATCTTGTGGAATATCGATTGCATTTTAGGATTAAAAGCCCTATACAGTTTGATCGATTCATATAAAAGAAATGTACAGGTTGTATTCATGATATGTCTTACGAAATACGAATTACGAACATAATTTAATTATTAATTTGAAAATTACATCACGCCAAATTAACATTAATATTATAATTACATTATTTGCCTCAGCGACCGGAGTGCGGTGCTGTACTTGAGTTTGTTCTCAGATTTCGCCTTAGCTGTTGTTATATCCAAGAAATGGTGGTTGTTGTTTTTTTTTTTCAAACAAAGACACCCAGGACATTTTAACTTCACATGTGCTGTGCTCACTTGTTCCAGAGAGCGGTCGCTTAAATCCGATGGCTTCGCGGACTGTTTTTATTTTATTTCTTTATTTTTCAGCCGGATATAGTCACGACTGATCCCAGAAAGGCGCCAAATTCCCGAAGAGACGTCTTCGCCCTCTCGCGCAGTGTCCGTTGGTCACCTCGAGGAGCCCACGCGG